TTGGTACCCACTGCAACTAAGAGAATCTAAAATAACAATAACAGAAGTTTATTTGTCTGAATGTTGTCAGTCTAGAGCTGGTATGGTGATCTAGAAATTAGATTCCTTGTAACCAGCTGGTCTGATGCATATGACTTACTCTTAGGGGCCTTTCATGTTCTATCATGGCTGCTGAGACTCTGGTGATCACAGTTGTGCTTCATGTGGCCAGAATAGATGAAAGGCAGAAGAAAGGTTTGCATGCATTTTCAAGAGGCTTCCCAAAACTGATTTTTACTGGCTGAAACCTAGACATATGTGTATGTCAAACTGCATGAAAGAGAACAGACATTGATGTACGTAGCTATAAGTCTACCACAGACTCCCATTCAATGTCATTTATATTTGTCTCAACCTAACGGAGAGTGAAAAAGTTGGCTTAAAGCTCAACACTCAGAAAACTAAGATCATGGCATCTGGTCCCATCACCTAATGGGAAATAGATGGGGAGACAGTGGAAACGGTGTCAGACTTTATTTTTTTGGGCTCCAAAATCACTGCAGATGGTGATTGCAGCCATGAAATTAAAAGACGCTTACTCCTTGGAAGGAAAGTTATGACCAATCTAGACAGCATATTAAAAAGCAGAGACATTACTTTGCCAACAAAGGTCCGTCTGGTCAAGGCTATGGTTTTTCCAGTGGTCATGTGTGGATGTGAGAGTTGGACTGTGAAGAAAGCTGAGCGCCGAAGAATTGATGCTTTTGAAGTGTGGTGTTGGAGAAGACTCTTGAGAGTCCCTTGGACTCCAAGGAGATCCAACCAGTCCATCCTGAAGGAGATCAGTCCTGGGTGTTCATTGGAAGGACTGATGCTGAAGCTGAAACTCCAATCCTTTGACCACCTGATGCGAAGAGTTGAATCATTGGAAAAGACCCTGATGCTGGGAGGGATTGGGGGCAGGAGGAGAAGGGGATGACAGAGGATGAGATGGTTGGATGGCATCACTGACTCGATGGGCATGAGTTTGAGTAAACTCCGGGAGTTCATGATGGACAAGGAGGCCTGGCATGCTGCGATTCATGTGGTCGCAAAGAGTCAGACATGACTGAGCGACTGAACTGAACTGAACATTTCAATCTTCATTACCTATCTTGATTTTAAGCATTCTGTTCCTCTGTGCTAGGTTCAAATCATTCTTTTTTGTTTCTACTTGTGTTAGGGTAAATTTGAAGTAACTATAAAAAGAAGTCTCTAGTTTCAGAGATTCAAGTATGATAGAAGTGTATTTATCTGATGTATGAACCAGTGGGTCTAGGCTGACTGGATAACTCTGCTTTTAGGGTCAATGAGAAACTCAGGACCCTCATTATCTTATAGTTGTATTCATCTTCCTAATCAAAGCCAGTCAGCACCATTTTTGTCTTCTAGTCCACTGGAAGGGGGAAATGGTTAATTCTAGGGAAGGTGGCCTGTCTTTAAGTTAGAGGTGACCTGAAATTTGCATATGTTGTATCTGCTCACAACCTACTGGTTTGGTCCTGTGGCCATACCCAGCTTCCAGAAAGACTGGGAATATAGGTGTTGGCTGGATGGTCATCTGACCAGGAAGAAGCATAGACAAGATATTGAAAAGACAGCTTCCATTCTATCACATTCCAGTACCTGTCTGCACGTCAAGGTAGCTCAAGTGACATTTCTGCAAAGAAGCTTATTCTGAACATTTAACCCCAAACCATGATTCTTATAACTAATAGTTATCCAGAGCTATTTCTATGCCAGGAACTAGACAATGTGTTCCACTTTTAACGCTATTCAAAATTCTACCAGTTTTGTCCTCATTTCCACAGATGGAAAATTATAGCTCATACAGATTAAATGATTAAGCAAAGATTATGTCCACAAGTGGTACTGGAATCATGGTCTGTACTTCTGAGCTCCACTCAGAATTGTGTCTCCGAGTGGAGTCCTGGGCATCCCCTTTGTGGCGCATCACTTGTGATTTGTCTCAATTCCTTCCTGGACCGTGAGCTCGTGAGGCCAGGCCTGATTCTTCTCTTAGCCCTCATTGTGTCTAGAAAAATACCTTGTATGTGAGAGGCTTTCATTCAATGTTTACTGAACGAATGAATTGTCAGCTTAAAAACAGTTCTAAATTCACAGATAATGGAAATGAAGAATCGTTTGGATTGGATATCCATGCAGTCTGAAGACATCAGTATGTTTCTTTTATGTGAAAATTGGCATGATGACCTTACTGACAACCTGTTCCACAGGACTGTGTCTACACACTTACAGTCAATTACATTTGTCTTTGTGAAATCCTTTGATGTTTTGAAGAAATTGGGATGTATGAAACTAAGATGTATTTTCTTTTAAAATGCCCCTATTTACTTTATCAAGTTTTCTTTTGCTTCTTATCATGGGTTGTTCTTATCATTAAATAAACATTCATTTGTATAACAACCTCTGTTTGTATTGGGAAAAGAAATAGTTAAAACAGTTGTATTTTTTTCCCATTAAATATTTATTGACATGAGCTGCTGGAGACCAATTAAAGTACTTAATATCTGTATAGAAAGCTGGGAAGCATTAGCTTTACATATTTTTAATGATTCATTACAGGCCACAGCCATATTGAAAAATAATTGATAAAACCAAAATTATTTAAAAGTATAATCTAAGCATAGAAATTGAATTAGATATTTTCATCCTGAGGCTTTACTCTGCTTTAGAAATAAAATTACAAAAATGCATTTTCCTCAGAGCCTATATATAAGGTGAAATAAGTATATAATTTCAAAAAATATATCTTTAACTTGTATTTGAAACCCTAGGATGCTGTCTATGTGTGTGTCTGTGGTTCTATGGTTGTTGGTAGGGAAATCTACTCAAATGAGATGGTTTAATTTGAGTTTCCCTATTTTGTGATGTTAACTGTGGTTTCACATAGTTATGGATTTCTTCTCTTGTCAGTTACCTGTTTAAGACTTCTGTTTCTATTGCTTGGGAGTTCCTTTTGTATTCTGGTTATATTGTGGATATGAGCCCTTTGTCAGTTACATGTCTTGAAACTATGTTCTACCATTTGAAGTTTTGCCTTTTAATTCTCTTATGATGTCTATATAGATATGCTTACAAGTAGAGGTGGTAATTAAATATTTAACTATTGAAAATAGTGTGGAGATTGATAACTCAGAATAGTATGCAGCTACTAAATACCAGGCTTATGTACAAGAATTTTAAGAAATTACAGCATCAGTTATCATGGAAGGGATGGGAATTTGTCAAAGACATTGTTATTTGTTGTGTACATCCATACTACTGCATAATAGGATCAGTTGAACTTGAGTAATGTCTGAAAAATTTAACAAAGAAAGCATGCTACAGTGCTGCTTACGTGGTTCTATTTGTTAAAAAGAGTTCACGTAGCTTGGTTGGTTTGTGAGCATTGATCTTGGCTGTTTCTGATGGGTACAGTTGGAGGCAGTACTATTGGGAGGCCCCCGTGAATGTTCGGTTTGTTACAAATAGCATTATTGCATCAGTACTTTAAAAAAATCTAATTTCTAATGAAATTTAGAAAAATTTAAATGGATAAAGAGACTATCTTATTTTTATTCCCATACCCCTCTGTACAAAGGGGAAGATTAAGTCTATTTTGGACCCTTTGTGCAGAGTAGGTCCACGTTGATCAAAGACATGTCATCCCAGATGACTGTTGAGAGTTTTCAGCTAACCTGTACCATATCCATCTAAGCACAGATTTCCAAGAGCAGGAGAGCAGGAAGTTAAGAATGAAGTTATTCATTTCAAATGCCCAATTCTAGCAGACTGTGATTTCTAACGCCTCAACTTGTCCACTATTTTATTATAGGCGAGGTTGTTTGTTAGTTTCATCATGTACCCTAGTTCCAAGGTTAGTGCCTGAAGCTAGGCACTAGAGGTAGTGAATGCTTACTGATTGGTGCATGCTTTGGGGTGGTCGTTAAAGAGTGTGTCATTTCTTTAATTGTTCTTCACTGGGTTATCTATTTGGGTCTAGTTTGTAGAGTGCCATGCTTTTATCTCTGCTTACCCTGTGACTGTGCAGCACTGTGATCGCTGTTGCATGCACCTGTCTTCACAATAGGACTGTGAGTCACTCGGGGGGCCAAGTCTGATTTTTATTCATGTCCTTTTCTATATCCCACAGAGCGGTTAATTCAGTAAAATTATAAATACAATAAGTTGTTGAAAAATGTGCTTTATTCTCTCAGATCAGTGCTTTTAATAGTATGACTCCAACAATTATTTTATCACACAAGCAACTCATTGATTCTACTATCAATTTTGTATTCCTCTGATATCACTTTGACCCCATGCTGTTTTAAACTTCGCCAACTCTCAGCACAGCATCAGGATGAGCCAGTTAAGATATAAGTTGGATTATGCCACTCCTCTTATCAAAACCCTACTGTAGCTTCCTGTCTCATCCAGAGTTAATTTGGCTCATTGTCACCTCTCTGACCTTACTACATGCATCTTTTCTCTCCTGCCTACATTTCTTCAGCCATAGTTAGTCTGATTCTACTTTCTTGGAGGAAATAATGTTTTAGCTTAAATTGAACCAACACTGAAATACGTGATGAGATAAATCAAGTTTCAGCATAATGAAGCGATGCTGGATTTTACCCATAAAGAAGACGTATACCAATATGACTTCTGGCAACTATGACACAGGTTTTTCTTTTTCAAGGGGCTAAAATCTCTTTAATATCATGAGAATTATGTTTCTCAACCAAGAGTATGATAAGATTAATCAAGGAGGCGTTGAGATACATATATATACATATACATATGTATATATGTAATATGTTACATATATCTACATATATATATATATAATTTTACTGATTTTTGTGTGTGTGAAACTTTCTCATTAAGGTAATTTTTAAGGAAATAGATAGCACTGGAAGTTTGATTAATTGAAATTTGGAAGTCATACCTGTAATTACTGTCTTTTTCTTTTTTTGGCTTAGGTCACCATTTTCAATCACAAAAGAATTCATCTTGAGATTCAATCAAACAAAAAATCCAAAAGAGGAGGAAGAACTATTGGACATAGCTAGAAAAAACATTATCAAATGTAAGGTAATGACTGTTTGATTACTTAGTATGTGAACTTTCTCTTCCAGTTGGTGAATGATTACATGTTCTAAAATACTGAAAGAAAAAATAAGGATACATATTTCTTTAGTTATAAGTATACATAGTCAAAAATACTAAATGCAAATTAAAGTTAAAGTTTATGACCAAATTATTCAATGTCAAATGGCTTTGGATGAAAATTATTCATAAAATTATTGGGGAATACAGCTGTCGACACTAGTCCAAGAGTCCAGATCAAAATATCAAAGGCTGATAAGTAAATATTTATTTATGAAAATTCTACATTTTACTGAAAAAGTGTTAACAAACATATCTTGTGTTGTTTTTTTTTTAAAAAGGACAGAAAGGCCTTCTAAACATTCACTATACATGCACAAAATATTCTGTTCTTTCTCTGTAACAAACCATTCACCTAACCTGTTAAATACATTCTTTAAGAATATATCATTAATTCACAAATTTTCAAACAATATAAAAACAAAATAGAATGTAAAATAAATCTTTGTTTTATCTTTTCTTAATTAGACACCATTTAAGTCTTGACAGAGAAATAATATGCACATGATTTTGCTATAATAGTAAATGATTGGTGAAATAAAAACTGCACAAAACAAATGGATAAATCAAGCCATCCTTTTCTGTGGCAGTTATTTCCCAGTATTTTACTCATGGTTGACCATATATTTAAATTTTTAAAAAAATCCACGGTAAATGTTGATTAGAAAAAAGAATTCAACATCCATTCATGATTAAAACTCTTACCAAAGTGGGTATGGAGGGAGCATATCTTAACATATTAAAAAGCCATTTATGATAATCCACTGGTGGCTCAGACAGTAAAGAGTCCGCCTGCAATGTGGGAGACCTGGGTTTGATCCCTCGGTTGGGAAGATTCCCCTGGAGACAGGAACAGCTACCCACTTCAGTATTCTGGCCTGGAGAATCCCCGTGAACAGAGGAGCCTGGCAGGCTACAGTCCATGTGGTTGCAAAGAGTCAGACAGGACTGAGCGACTTTTACTTTTCATTTTCACAGTCAGTGTAATACTCAGTGGTGAGAAACTGAAAGCCTTACTGCTAAATCCTGGAACACAACAAGGCCGTCCACTCTTAACCACTCCTATGCAGCATAGTGTTGGAAGTTCTAGTGTTTGCAGTCAGACAAGAAAAGGAAATAGAAGGTATCCAAACTGGAAGAGAAGAGAAAATATTGTCACTGTGTGCAGATTACCTGATACTCTATACAGAAAACCTTAAAGCTGCCACACAAAAACTATTATAATGGATAAATGAATTCAGCAATGTAGTAGGGTACAAGATTAATATATAGAAATCTGTTACCTTTCTTTACACTAACAAGGAGATATCAGAAAGAGAAAGCAATGGAAAAAAAGTGAAGCCATTTAAAATTGTGTTTAAAAAAATACCCTAGAAATAAACATGACCTAGGTGATGAAAGACTTGCATGCTGAAAACTGTAAAACATTGGTAAGGGAAATTGAAGATGATTCAAAAAATGGAAAAGTATCCAATGCTTTGGATTAGAAGAATTAGTATTGGTAAACTAGCTATACTACCCAAAGCAATATACAGATACAATGCCGCTGCTGCTAAGTCGCTTCAGTCGTGTCTGACTCTGTGCGACCCCATGGACGGCATCCCACCAGGCTCCCCGTCCCTGGGATTCTCCGGGCAAGAACACTGGAGTGGGTTGCCATTTCCTTCTCCAACGCATAAAAATGAAAATGAAGTCGCTCAGTCGTGTCTGACTCTTGGCGACCCCATGGACTGCAGCCCACCAGGCTCCTCCGTCCATTGGATTTTCCAGGCAAGAGGACTGGAGTGGGGTGCCGTTGCCTTCTCCGAGATACAATGCAATCTCTATCAAATTACTCATGATATTTTTCACAGAGTTAGAACTAAATCCTGAAACTGATATGGAACCACAAAAGACCCAGAATTGCCAAAGTAATCCTGAGGAAAAAAGAACAAAGCTAGAGGTATAACCCTTGCAGACTTTAGACAATACTACAAAGCTATAGTAATCAAAACAGTGTGTTATTTGCAAAACAGACATATAGATCAGTGGAACAGAAGAGAGAACCCAGAAGTAAATACACACACCTATATTTAATCTTCAACAAAGGAGGCAATGATATACAATGGACAGTCTTTTCAGCAAGTGTGTTGGAAATACTGGGCAGCCATATGTTAATTAGCAAAGTTAGAACATACCCTCACACCATAAACAAAAGTAAACTCAAAATGACTTAAAGACTTAAATATAAGCCATGGAAGACTTAACTATAAGACATGACACCACAAAACCCCTAGGAGAGAACACAGACAAAACATTCTCTGAAATAAATTGTACCAGTGTTTTCCTAGGTTAGTCTCCTAAGGCAATAGAAAGAAAAACAAAAATAAACAAATGGGACCTAATCAAACCTAAAAACTTTTGCACAGCAAAGGCAACCATTCATAAAATGAAAAGATAACTTACAGACTGGGAGAAAATATTTGCAAGTGATGTAACTGACAAAGGATTAATTTCCAAAATAACAAACAGCTCATGAAGCTCAATATTAAAAAACAAACAAACAAACAAACAAACAAAAAACCCCAAACAACCCAATCAAAAAATGGGCAGGGACTGAACTAGGCTTTTCTTCAAAGAAGACATACAAATGACCAACAGGCACATGACAAGATGCTCAGCATCACTAATTATTAGAGAAATGCAAATCCATACTATGATGAGGTATCACTTCATGCTGGTCAGAATGATCTTCATCAAAAAGTCTACAAATGCAGGAAAGAGAGTGGAAGAAAATGAACCCTCCTACACTGTTGGTAGGAATGTAAATTGGTGCAGCCACTGTGAAAAATGGTATGGAGTTTCCTTAAAAGCTTAAAGTAGAGTTACCATATGACCCAGCAATTCCACTCCTGGGCATGTATCTGGAAAAGATGAAAAGTCTAATTCAAAAAGATGTATGCACTGCAGTGTTCATAGCAGGTCTGTTTACAAGAGCCAAACATGGAAGCAACCTAAGTGTCCATTGACAGATGAATGGAATAAGAAGATGTGATATACTTGTGTGTGTGTATGTGTGTGTGTGTGTGTGTGTGTGTGTATTCATATGCATATACATATACATATATATATATATATATTGCTAAGTTGCATCACTCATGTCCAACTCTTTGTGACACTGTAGACTGTAGCCTGCCAGGCTCCTCCGTCTAAGGGATTCTCCAGGCAAGAATAATGGAGAGGGTTGCCATGCCCTCTTCCAGGGGATCTTCCAGACCCAGGGATTAAACCTGTCTCTTACATCTCCTACATTGATAGGCAGATTCTTTACCACTAGTGCTATCTGGGAAGCCCCAAACTATGGTACATCCATACAATGGAATATTACCTGTGATTTAAAAAAGAGCTAGCAAGCTATCTTCCTCCATGAAGAGTCAGGGAGGAAATTTAGACACATATTGCTAAGTGATAGAAGCCAGTGTGAAAGGTTTGATACTGCCTAATTCCACCAAACAGCGCTTTAGAAAAGGCTCGTGGAGAAAGGCTCATGGTTTTTATGTAGACGGTAAAAAGATCAGAGGTTGCCAGTGCTTGCATCAGAAGAGAGCCCTAATGTAAAGGATGGACTGCAGTTAATGATAAGGTATCAATATTGGCCCATCAAGTATAGCAAATGCACCTTACTAACACAAGCTCTTAGTAATATGGGAAGCTGTGGTTGTGCTGGAATGAGGGGATGCATGAGAACTCTGTACTTTCTGCTCAGGTATCTCTGTAAGCATTAAAACTACCCTGCTAATTCCAAAAAATAAACTCGCAAACAACAAGTGCTCAACACATTTAGGGGCATTTTGAGTTTGTTTCTTATCTTGATTAAAACTGCTTCACCTACTTTCCCCTGCCCACTCCTTTTTTGTCCTGCTTTTCTGTTAATGTTTACCAAAAAGTTAACCTATATAAAGAGGAGTAAGCCAAGGTGCCTTCCAGAGTAATTCCTTTTTGCATATGAAGGTAAAGTACTCTTCGTAGAAAGTGGGAAAATACTTCCTTCAGTTATTAATCCAATTAAAAATAGTGAGTGCTAAACTAAAATTACCAACCAAAATACCAAAGGTGAGCAAGACAAATATCTCCAACTTTTTCCATGAGAGGAAATCCTCTCTGCTCATATTACGAGCAAAAGAGTCTTGGGAACACAAAAATCAAACACATTGATGTACTGGAACCAGTAATACCAGATGTGTTCCTAATGTCAGGAACATATATCACAAGTAAAACAGTGATAATGTTGAGAACTAGGGTGATTGAAGAATTGTGAATCCTTGAGAATGGAAGATTGGGGAAAAACACCATTAAAGCTTTCCTTGCAGGGAAGTGGATTAGAGGGACCATCAAAAGCCCAGAAAATAGTGTGTATAACGTCACAGTCGTAAGGACAGCATTGTGTTGCAAGTATTTACTGTAACCTTGTAGTAATTCTGATGCTACATTGTCATAAAAAGTGAGGTGCCCAAAGAGTGCAGGTATAAAGTAAGTGAGAAAACTTAAAGGAATTGCTGTACTGGTTACATCCTGCATCCATTTCTTAGAAGGGCTTTGAAGTTCACTGTTGTTTTTTAAAATTAATTTATTTATTTTAATTGGAGGCTAATTACTTTACAATACTGTGGTGGTTTTTGCCATACATTGACATGAATCCGCCACGGGTGCACATGTGTTTCCCATCTTGACCCTCCCTCCCACCTCCCTCCCCATCCCATCCCTCTGGGTC